GCAAATTCTGAGTCAAGCATTCAGTACTATTGCCGGAATGTTGTCAGGCCCACAACCGTTGCCATATCCAGTGCATCCAATTGTTTCCTGATATGATATGCAGTGAATCAAATTAGCTGAAGATTGTTGCAAATTCTTCAGCCTTATCTTTTGCACAGATGTACTGGGCTCTTCCACCATTAAGAATGGAGATCTTTCTGGAGCCTCCTTCTCCAGGGAATAGTTTAATTATCCACCACTATTCACAATTGGATGTGGCAGGATTGCAGAATAAGATCTGATCTGTTCATTGTGGAATCACTTAGCTCTGTCTATCACTTGCTGCTTATGCTGTTTGGCATGCAGGTAGTCCTGTGTCGTAGCTTCACCAGGTTGACACTGAAGGGTACGCTTGGTGCTGCTCCTAGCATGCCCCCCTGCAGATTCAGCACCCTGAATCTATTGGATCTGTGCCTCACAACCCACTTCACCTTCAACGGCCATACATTTAAACAAATCAATGGAACACCAATGGGATCCCCAATATCAGGGCTGATTACAGAAACAGTAATGCAAAGATCAGAACAGAAAGTGCTCCCCACTGTACAACCCAAACTCTGGGTCCGCTATGTAGATGACACCTTCATGATTATCAAACGTACAAGACTAGAAGAAACCCACCAACACATAAACAACATCTTCACCGGAATAAAATTTACAAGAGAACAACCGACTACCTCTTCCTGGACAATAGTAATAACAATGGAGAACTCTAGACTAGAGTATACAGAAAGACCAAACGGTCTGCAGTTCTTGCTATCTCCTATTTCTGGTGATAGCTTTTCAAATATTGACAAAAATCTTTTGTTAACTTAAACTTGTTTTCTTATAGCACCTTAAAAGTGCAGTTCAAGAACAGATACTCAATTAAACCAGCAACACCCCAACACCCATAAACGGAGCTGCAACAGGTCATTATTCAAACAAGCCATGACACACTGCAGCAACCCGGAATTGCGCAAAGCAGAACAGGAACACTTATATGGAGATTTTAAAAGGAATGGATACCCAAAAAGCATAATCCGCCATTACTTCCACGACAGACCACAACAAGAAGACACAACACGACCAAACACCTTAGTCACTACATCACGGACATATCAGAGATGACCACAAAACTACTCAGGCCCCTAAGTATCAGGATAGCCCACAAACCAACAACCACCCTGCGACAGCTACTGACAAATGTAAAGGACCCCAAACCCGCAACCAATAAAAGTAATGTAATATACAAGATACCATGCAAGGGGAGAAACATTACATAGGCCAAACTGGAAGACTGGCAATAATGATACATGAACACCAACTAGCCACCAAGAGACATGACCAGTTCTCACTGGTCTCAATACACACGGACAAAGAAGGACACGAATTTGACTGGAATAACACATCCATAATAGTACAGAGACATGCCAGGGAATTTCTGGAGGCCTGGCATTCCAACTGGAATGCTGTCAACAAACACATTGAACTGAACCCGATATACAAACCATTGAAAAACAGAACCAGAAGTAGTGCCATCCACCCCAGCAAACCGAGGCATATAAATAACAAGCAGGACAGAACTCCAACGCTTCACCGGAAGCGCACTGACGATGTTACCTAGGAGGGCGATGAACCGTCTGCAAATAAACACACCAGCTCAGCGAACAAGTCTACAACCTCAATATTTACTGGTGTAAACTCTGTACTGATTAATAGTTATTGATATATCTGTCCTGACTAATCTTTCTTGGTATGTACAATATGCTAATTAATCTTTACTGGTAAAACCAATATCAAAGGTCAAACTCATTTCTCATTTTATAAGACTAGTCTTGCGATTTGCTTCAGGACTACCTTTTTTGGATTTCGGAGGCTTCTTTTTCATTCTCACTAACTCATTTATGAAATGATGCTGTCATACAGTAACACCTGTGTTTATGTCGACATATGAGGCAAACTGATTCTCACAGAAGCAGAATTTAAATAACTAATCAAAATGCTCAATAATAATCAACCCTCAACACTCAATTAATTTCTTGAACAGCACTTTTAAGTTGTTATAAGAAAACAGGTTTAAGTTAACAAAAGATTTTTTTCAATATAAATGAAATGTCAATACTTCAAAAGCCATCACCAGAAATAGGAGATAGCAAGAACTGCAGATGCTGGAGTCAGAGACCACACAGTGTGGAGCTGGAGGAACACAGCAGGTCAGAAGCATCAGAGGAGTAGGAGAGTCGACGTTTCAGGTCCTGAAACATCAACTTTCCTACTCCTCCAATGCTGCCTGACCTGCTGTGTTCCTCCAGCTCCACACTGTATCGTGTCTATCACCAGAAATACATCTTGCACAGACTGGTAAAGTCATACTTCAACAAAGCTGGGACATTTTCATCAAAACTATTTACTGTTTGTTGGACTTCACCCTCAGATTTAAATTTAACAATCGACAGTGTTCATTACAGTAAGATCCACCACATTTTTCTCCAGTACAGTAGCTCCTGATTTATGTAGCCCTCAACTAGACTTTTCACATTCATTTACAAGAAATTCATCACTGTCATTATTTAAAATTGTATTAAGATTCCAGTTAATGGAATATGTATTGTTGACAGGTTTAAAACTTTTTTCCTTTGCAACCTTCCTCTCCCTCCAGTTGCCTCTTACAGCTTCCATTGTACTTGCTCTACACTCCTCTTGCAGCCTCTTTCTCCCTCAATATCCCTCTTACAGCTTCCATCTTCCCCAGTCCTCTCTTGCAGCCTCGTTCTATCCTGAACCCTCCTCCAAATGCCTCCACTTCCCATGTCTATCTTCCTCTGGCTGACACCGCACATTGGACTTAGCACACAAAACACTCAGATCCAGCAAAAGGGCCTCCCGACCTCATCAAAAGTTCACCACAGTAAGAGGACATGCAAATTATCCAGAACTGCCTTTCCCAAAATGCTAGTTGCACCTCCAGTCACCAGTTGTTTCTCTGTAAAGGCAGCAAGCACAGCACAGATCCCTGACAGGGATTCGAGGAGCAGCTCCTCGCCATTTCCCATCATTTTATTATTTCAGCGACTGTTCTCTGATTGGGCACACGTGAATTTTCCCAGGCAGTTTGGGGATTTTCAGGAGAATACACCTGCTGCCTCAAGTATTCTGAGCGTTGCTCTATACCGATCAATATTACCTGATATACACTTTATACTAATTAATGCTTACTAGGATACAGTCTACACCAAGCAATGTTTACTGATGTACACATTATACCAATCAATAGTTGATGTAAACTCTATATTACGTAATCTTTTCTGATAAACACTTTTTACTGATTAGCATTTATTTACACTCAAAATTTATTAATCCTTACTGATATAGTCTGTACTGATTAATATTTACAGATATTCACTCCATACTAAATTAATGTTTACGAATCTAAACCCTACAGATATAAACTGTATTGATTAATCCTTGCTGGTATCCTCTACACAGATTAATATATGCTGACATACATTTTCACTATTATTATTGTAAAAACATAATTGCCAAGAGTATGCTGATAATGGGACCCCACTATTCCACAAGCTTGATCAATTTGCTCAACTAATTGTTATTCAGGACAAAGGTATTGGGACACACCAGGTTTAACAGGAATAACTATTTGATGCAAACAAATGTGTTCTTTAACAAATGATAGAAGGAAAAATTGATCACTCACCTAATTTTTTAGTTTATATGTAGATTAACACCACCCAAAGTTACAGCTGTCCCTTTAACACAAGCAACCAATATTTCTTCTTGTGTATTGTTTCCCACATTGCAGTTTCGGTGAGGGAGGATGTAGATCACTCTCCCTAGTGACTTCTTTCCCATTGTATTTCTCATCTCCACCAAATGATTCTACATCTTGATCTGAACCAACGTTATGTCTAACTATTGCTCAAATGCCATCCTTGATTAACAGTGCTATCCCTTCAGCTTTACATAGTTTCTATTCTTCTTGAATGCCATATTCAGGACCAATTTCTTGTCATTCTATCGCCACGTCCCTGTAAATTATCAGATTATATTTATTTACTTCAATGTGCGTAACCAATTCATTTACTTTGTAATGAATTCTGCGTACATTCAAATTCAGAGCTTTTAGTTATGTCTTTTTCTGACAACTAATCTTGCATTTAGCATGCTCCAAGGCTTTTATTGTTGTCTCTTCCTGTCATTCTCTGACCTTTATTCCCCATTTTGCTATTTTCTTCAATTTTGTCTCTACTCTTTAATACACCACTTTGCACATTTGATTCCTTGTCCCCTGCTTTGTTTAAAACCTTTTTATCTAGTTGTGCAGTTCACAAGAATACCAGCATCAGCATGGTTCAAGTGTAAACCGTCCCAACCATACAGCCCCACTTCCCCCAGTACTGGGGCCAGTGGCCCACGAAGCAGATCACACTTTTCCCACACCAGCCAAATATTCATCTCTTTAATTTCATGTACCTATGCCAATTATCCAGTGCCAGTTTATACATGGGTCAGGTAACATGCAGAGATTACACTTTTAAGTTTTGTACCCAGCTTCTCATACTCTATGCAGAACCATTTTCCGGGTTCTACCTTTGTCGATGGTACCTACATGGGCCATAAATACTGAATCCTTCCCCTCTCACTGCAAGTCACTTTATAGCACTGACCAGATGTCCCGAATCCCAGGCAGGGAACGCAGCTATCTGGACTCTCCTACACACTCTACCTTCTGCTGTTCCTACTACTCCACCTCCTTCTCAGAATAGTGCATCGACTACTATTACTACAAAACAACAGCATCCTCTGCTGTCTCCCCGACATTTAATTGGTTTCCTGTATCACAGTGCCATGGTCAGTTTGCTCATCCATCCTGCAGACCTTCCTCTCATCCAAACTCACTCAGGTCACCATAAACTGTTAACAAGGGAAGAAGTACATGGGTCACATGAAATGGAAGCACTTGCCCTGGCTGCTCACAGAAGGAAACCAGAGTCTCAAAGCCAACCAGGGAGGATTTGTCAAAACTCTTTACAGATCCTCTCTTGCTCTGCAAAAAAAACACAAGAAAATAACTACAGTTAGACACACAAAGGACAGCACAGTGGTTTTCAACACATTCAGAAAATAAGCACACAGCAGCACCTCTAAGAGATCACCAGAGGTTTTTCTCAAAGCACGGGTAGAAGGGGAGGTGGATAGAAGGGAGTGATGAACCAAAGACATATAGGGACAAATGAAAAGAGAACAGCCATAAATGACATTGGCATAAAACAGCAAGGATGAACTGGGGAAAAGAGAGATGATGAGTTGGAAAGCCAACCCAGTGATGAAGAAGCAGATAATAGCTAAGTGTTAGATGCATGCAAGAAGGTAATGAAGAAATGTGAGAAGCTGATGCATACTCTTGAGCTTTGCTCTATATTGATTAATAATTACTGTTACATATAAGCCACACAAAGCCCTGGTTAGTTTCCGACACTCTCAGGTAAACCTTTATATATTGGAAAAGAATTTGGAAGCTTTGAAACAAAAGCTTCAGTGATCCAGGGAGATGTCAGTCTGAAAGGGCAATACATCCGTGCGTAACTTTCATGACTCCATACCTGCTTCTGAGCGATCTCTTTCTTGATCAGAAAACCGATGTTCTCCCGATCGATTCTGGAGTAATAAATACGGCAAAACGAGGGCTTCCCGTCTCTCCCTGCTCTCCCAGATTCTTGGTAATAAGCAGCCATTGATTTTGCAAGATTCCAATGGGCAACAAATCTGTTGAGATTCAGAGATAGGCAGTCAGAAGCCACAAGCAGAGGGGCAGTCAGTAACCAGCATTGCTCAACATTCCACTTGTGACAAATCTCAGATAGTAACCATCACTAAGAGAATTTAACCATCTCCTTTTGACCTTTAAAGGCATAACACCATTGTTTATTAGCAAATGTATCTCGGGCAGCCATATGAACATCCTAGCTCAAGGAGGAGGTCAGAGGCAAGGAATTCTGTAGCAAGTAACTCACCCACAAGTCAGAGGTATTATGGAGTACATGCTATTTGCTTTGAAGATGCAACTTGACAAAACTCAAGAAGGTCTGCACCATCCAAGATGAATATGTCTAAATCATTATCACCCCATTCACCACCTTCAACTTTCATTTCCTCAACCAGCAATGCAAAGTGACAGCAGTGTGCATCATCTCCAAAATGAGCTGTGGCAACTCAGTAAGATTCTTTCAACAGCACCTCCTAAACCTGCAACCTCTACCACCCAGAAGACAGCTGGACAACAGATGAATGGGAACACCACCACCTGCAAGTCCCCCTTCAAGCCACACATTATCCTGACTTGGAATTATATAGCCGCTCCTTCAGTGTCATGAGTCAAGGTCCAGGACTGTCCATTCTAACAGCACTGTGGTGAACCTATACCACGTGGACTGCAGTGATTCAACAAGAGATAGTAGGAACTGCAGATGCTGGAGAATCCGAGACAACAAGGTGCAGGGCTGGATGAACACAGCAGGCCAA